ATAAGATTGTGAAGGATAAATATTTAGATGGAAAACGATTGTTACACATAACTTTCTCTTATTCATATGACGACAACAATAATCCACCCATAATTTAATCTCTCTAACCCTTCAGTAAATTTATGAATAATTTTGGCTGTGAAAAATAAAATCCGGAAAGAAAACTTCAATATGAATAAAGTCGGAATAAGATCAATTATTTTATGTAGGCATGTTTCTACAATATTAAGGTCAGAATACTGATCATGAATGTTGAAAAACTGCTATGTATTCTAAAACTATTAGACTCTGCCATTTTTTTATTATATCAGTTGTGAAATACTTTCGATTTATACAAGTTCTTTGTTGGTTAATTGAAAAATGACTTCGAGATCATTTTAATAATCCCTCAAATTTGTTCCCATAATCTGACCAACAATTTTGACTACATAATTAAATCAGTTGAAAAAAATACAGAAAACAAATTAATAAAGTATTATTCTATTTATTCTCAATGTAATTTTATACCATACACTTGTCACCTGCTTCGGTTTGCGTAACCAGGCAGTAACCCAGTCTTCACATAAATCGAATCAAAGAAAATTTGCGCCAACATTTAGAGTATTACATTAACTGCAGCATTTTAGCACACTGAAACATTAAATTATGTAGCTACACAAAAGAAATAGAGGAAAAAAAACATAGAACAAAGAAAGCCGACCACCATTGCTTACAAAAATGACGGCTATAATAATTCCCGCTTTATTCAGATTGGTGGCTAAGCAGATTGCCACAATTACGAAATCGACTTGCGTTTCATTGCAACCGTAATAAGGGAGAGAGGAAAGAAAAGTACAACAATTAATATTCATGAAATTTTACTCTAATTAACTGTTATTTAAATAACTTAATAATAAGTAAAATCAACACATACATTTTCTGATTATAAGCAAGTTTGTTTTTATTTAAAACTCAATTTCATTATCCATTTATTGTTTTAAAACTGACGTCATTTACAAAATTAAATTTTAAATACGAGTCATATGATTATTTATTTTAGTAACTATGTGTCAACAGTTGATTTCCGCTTTCAAGGTCATTGGTTGACTATGATATTCTTGTTATCTCTAAAGGATTTAAATTTCGTTTCTTTTTTCTCAATACATTATTATCATTTATAGAATATTACTGATGTTGTTATAATGTTCAGTATGAAATATTACCAAACTATAGCAACCCTATTTGTTATAAGCATATACTGTATTGACAAGTCTACTGCAAAACGTGAGAAATATGAGAATTTACATTTTATGCTGAACTGAAGAGATGAAATTTGAAAATTCTATTTCGTTTTTGCACTTATCTAGAAGGATAGTTCCACTAGCATCTTAAGTTCCCATGCACTATTTTGATTATGGCAAACAACGATACCAATTCAGCAAGTTAATCTATAGTATGAAAATATTTTGTATTGCATTGATTCCCATCTACTTGTAGTGTAGGTGAGATGTGTCTGCTAACCAAAAAACCAGTATACTGACAAGCGGTCAGCTTTATATTACTCTATGGTTGTAAAACGGGATCTCAGAAAGTAGACGACACGCGTTGGCTGCAGCTTGTTCTACAATGCATATCTTGGGAGCATTGGGCGAGTTTGGTGTAACGAATAAATGAGTATTACTAAGATTGAGTTAGATATAATGCAAAGATGGCAAAACAGTTGGCAGGGTTGTAAATCGTCATTGGATGAGGGAATTGGAATATAAATTACGTATACCCAAACGGTACCTACTTCGGTTGGCGATGTTAACTGGTGTCGAAGTAAATTAGAATAGTGCCACAGAGGATCAAATCAGAATGTGGGATAGGTCCATAAAATTATGGACTTAACTGTGATGGGATATGTAAACTTCCGAGTTGAGGTTGGGAATTATGGCTTAGAATCAGTCACAATGACCGAGAATGGGGAGTTAGCTCTCCCTCTAGAAATGCTCTCACACGGCCACGTGCATACAACCATTGCCAAAGAAGTCCTATTCACTAGCTTCTCACGGCACTAGTGTTGTCTACGAAATTGAGAGGACGAAGACGAATGTCCGGCGCTTTCACTGGGTTGTTGGATATGGAGGACCCACCTAAGGAGTTGGAAAACCCTGATTCCGAGCCAATGGTGCACATGGCCTCCAGGATCCTGAAGGAAGAAATGTCGCATGAGCCAATCGTCGGTCACCAGCTACTATGGGACTGTATCTCCTGACGTTGCTCCATTGTCTTGTGGATCAGACCTTTAGATCAAAGACTCCGGTGTAGCCCTGCTTCAATCTGGGTACCCGGGTTGTATTCCAATCCTCACACAAATCGAATGGTTTATGCCCTGTTTATCTTTAAATAAATAATGTAAATGCACCCATTCCTACTCTAAATATTGAGTTCCAACATGCCTCCAACTCCTCACACCTTACCATACCTTCTCCGTGAAACAGTTTCAAACTTTAGATTTTCTTACTATCAATCGTACTACATTTTCATCCTTTTTCTTAGATCCATCTCATCATGCTAATGTAGTCAATACAAACAATCCGATTCAAATTGTTGTAGACCATAGGTGTTTCAAAGTGATCATTGAGTTTCATAGATTACGAGATGTTAGTAGCTCCCGGGTCATGATAAGATATCTCTAGAGTTTTGTACTTATTGAAGTGAAACTGTGTCATCGAACATTGTTCTTAAGAATTATGTTAAAGTTGACAGTATGATTACATCCAGCTTATATAACACAACACTACCACAAGCAGCTACCGAACTATAAATCTGCATATTTTAAATATACAGTGAATCTTGGTCCTCATGGACATAAAAAGTCTACATTTCAATACTATTAAACTCACAAATAGTGCATTACAGTTATATCAATTTGAAGTTTCTCGTAGGATAAAGTGCTAGCCCTGGATATGATTACTAGCCACTATCTCAAATTCAATCAAAGTAATGTTCGAGATATTAAAAAAAAAAGAATACCATTGGAAGGGAAGAGGAAAACAAACATTTGCGTATTAAACAAAATCGATAAGTACAGATACAGAAGTGTGACTAGGGAAGGATGGTTAGATAGACATACATACAGCATAGACAATACATTGTGGATTGTTATTTATGAATTATGTAGGCAAACCAAATACACGTATACAAGAAGATGATAGACAGGCATTGATGAGAAATTAGAAAGTGACCAATGAACAGTAAAGTTTGTACAAGATTATATTCGGTAAAAATTAAGACAAGTTCCGTTAACAGACAATAGATTCAACAACAAAAAAATTTCATTTTGGTCAAGTTTTTCGTTCACGTTTATAAATATCAAAATTGCAGTGCATTTAAAAATGATACCAGTAAGATAGGTAGTGAACAAAGCAAAAATCCTACATTCCCTAGAATGTCTACAATGTTGAGTGAAGTTACATAAATAAGCCGTAAATTGTTACTTATTGAAAACATAAAATGTATTAAACAGAATGGTATGAAGTAATACCAGATATGACAATACCTATTGAAGAGAATTATGTCTATGTACGTGATTTGAATGACACTTGGAATACATTGTCGTGAAACAAACAAAAGTAGATAAACAATGTTTGAACTCGTAAAATGATTAGTTTGAAGTTGCATCCATAAATTATCAGTTAGCTACTCATGCTTTCTCATAGTGTGTCAGTTGTATTGTTCCACAAGATAACATTACCAACATATTAACTTTATATACTGTTAATATACAGTTAAGACTCGAAAAACGTACGAAAATAGAGACGTCTCTTTAGTAATTAGGATAAAGCTTAATTTTGAATTGTTGTTGAGATACTTATATACAGGCAACATACACTCGCTGAAAACCATTGTTGGACAGAATATACATTATGGTTTGAGATGGAATGTACAAAGAGTTCCTACATATAACAACGAACGGACTATTTAAATATATTCTGTAATATATAATATATATACACATATTTAATTGATGCAAGTGTTAGTCAGAAAAAAACACTCCCTCCTGTAAGTAGTAATATCTCATTAGTTCAACAACTACTAGTTTTTCAAAGATTATGATCAATGCATCAGTCATATTAAACGGAACTTTTAAAAAAGTGAATATACTTGAATTGTGCCATCAGGTACAAAAAGGAAATTGAAACATGTCAGTGAATATGGTTTCAGATAGTTCAAATATCTGAAACTAAAAATACCCATGATTGTGTTAGCCTAAAGAAACTAAATGTAGTTCTTGGCTTATACGATCCGATAGGATTAACAGATAAACATGTTGATTATGGTTCAATATACAATAATAAACGATTATGAGATATATCACTCAGCTCATTAGGAGTTTAAATTGCGTTTTAAAAAGATTTTAACACTTCTGATCTTACTTCTTGTCATAAGAAAATTGTTTTAATGTAAAGATTTTGGGGTTGTACCTGTCAACTGTTGTTACAAGATATACATTTTGACCGAATTCCTTGCACTGGGACTTATTTTTACTGAATGAGCATATAGTCTGTTAAGGTTAATACCTTCAAATTCATAACATTCTTCAAATACGATCAATATATTATTGGTTAGGCGAAACCCTCAGAAATAATATCGACAAGAAAAACAACTTTTGTATATGTATGTATACAGCAGTAGAGACAAACAACGACAGATCGCAAATAATATGTATGGTTAGCCAAAAAGACAGATACCAGTGCATTTGATCAGGACATAAACTACGTGAATCTAAGTCTTGACAAAAGAACTAGGGTAATGGATTGAGGTAGCAGTTGGACGTTGTTATTACGTTTGTTGCCTAACCGACAAAATGTGACCAGAACTAAAGGTCTTCTGGTACTGAAATTGGTTGAAAATCTGGACTGATGCATAAAAGAATACCCCAACTGTCAAGTTGTCAATAACAAGGATAATTGAAGATCTCAAATGGAATCAAATATTCAAATATAATTATAACATACAAGAAACGATCTGAATATATATATATATATATATATATATATTCATGGGTACATATGCAAAAAATATGTACAAATGAAAATATGAAGTAGAATTACTGAAGATTTGGGGAAGTGTAGAGAAAGGAATAGTTACTTATTTGGCAATGAAAGAGGTTGTAAATTAGACATTTGTAGAAGAAAATGAGCTCACGATTTGGCATATATATATATATATATATATATATATATATATATATATATATATGCTTGGTGAATAATTAGTCGTTGAACAAAAAAATACCAATGAACAAGATAGTGTTTGGATGGATCAGTTGGAGTTGTAGAGTATCGTTTATCTTTGTGCAAAGTTCGTAATTAGTTTCGCTTGATAGCCAGTGGAAAAAATGGAAATTATATCCACTTAGTAAAATGCAGTATAGCTCCATTGTGATGCTTTCTTCCAGAGATCTCAATTCACACTAAAATGGAAAAAAAACAATTCCTCTTATTAGGGGGGGGCATGACATTATCATCTCGTTTGATGCTTTATAGTAATTATCGAGTAAAAAAACAAATACCACAAATGTGGAAATGTGGTGTAACTATTTAAATAATAAACCGTTTACAATATGGTGAACACATGCATCAATACACATTGTTTATCTAAATAAATCTTCGTGGGCAGCATGAAAATCCAAACAACTTAGTTAATAAATTCATACAAAGTTAATTATTTATTTCTTTATTAATGGTCAGAGTCATGTGCTCAAGAAGAAATATCACTCAGAGAATATAAGATTTTACTCCTTTCGATCTATAATTTCAAATATTAAAATTTTGGAACCAAACTATCTATCCGATGATTTAAAGTGAAACTTAGACTTAAACTTTTGTTAGGTCAAAAAACTTTAGACTGAGTTGATCTAGTGATATTAGTACGAAATAGTGATAGTAGTTGCATTTTCCTGGTCACCGTATTTATTCAGATTACAGACTAATTGATATTTCATACTAACTAACTGGAGCACAAACAGGCTTTAGTATTAGGCGAATTTTACTTCAAAATATGCTAAATATAATGAAATAGGATCTCTAACTTCAAACCTGTATTTTTAGGTTAGGTTTCTTTTATCAATTGAAGTGTATCCTTTTGGCACGTAAGAACTTTTAATATGGAGTTTCATCTATACCACTAAAGCTTTCTTTTATATTTCATCCAAACTTTAGTGAAGCTATAGGTTTGACGAATGATTATACGCAGTTACGTACAGTCAAACTGAAAGACAGTGAATCTATCAGTTGACGATAGTGGTTAGTAGATCTAATTTGATTTTATCATCAAGAAGGATGGTTAAATGGTACGTTATTAAGACAGACTGCTCAAACGATCAGACCGACTTGCAGTTGCTCGCCTTCTAACCAGTCAAAGTATTTGTTTTCAAACTTCGATGTTAGAAAATTTATAATAATTCAAAAAGGAGGGAACAAAGTGGCAAGTTCACAGAGACAGGTGTCAATATTTAAAGATATGAGTTTGACACAACTATTTATAAGAAGCGATTTCCTTTTGGGTTGTCTAGAAATTCAAAACCTGATAACCTGAAGTGACACAACATTTTGTTTTGTTGGGGAAATAGAACACTAACCGACATATGCTCCCTTTAGTTTCCAAATAATCACAATAATTCTTCCATCACTCTACATATGAAGGGAACACTTACAAGAGTTATGACTTGATTTCTTAAACTCATGTCATTAGGCAAGACCCATTCCTATCAAACTACTGAGTGAGGCGTAGCAATAAGGCTATTGTAGTTTGTACGTCACAAGGTATAGGCTATATATTTCGTAAGAGTTAATACTACCGAACTGACCCAAAGTCGTAAGACAAAAATGGAACAGATTCGATGACTAACTGTTTAAGAAACAAGTTTTCATAACAGGTAACCAAGTTAACTTCAAAATCTATTATGTGGTTAGAAAATAAAATGAACATACAGTCGTAGCGTGTCAAATGATAGGTAAATCATCAAAAAAGAAAGTGCATAAGGAAATTTACTTGATTCAGCAGCAGTGGGACGTGAGGGTGCGCCATTATTATTAATCATCTTAAGATCTTCATTATCATTCATCACAGCCGAAGAAACATCGCATCCTATACCACTTATTGTCGGGTGCATTATAGCTGAAAGGTAAGATGTTAATAGAAACCAGTATCAAAAAAGTCAACTTCTTATGAGTGAGATTTTCTAATCGACAAATGTTGTCGTATGAACAGTCTACTATCATTCAGCTGTGAAGTGTTGGTTTAGTGGTTAAGGTTTTCGGCTTTCAACTACTAGGTTCCATGTTCGAGTCACGGTCCCACAGACTTAATTTTGGACAGCTGGACAATGCCACTAGCTCTCATATAATCTCTTCAAACCAAGCACACAGATCTGTTGCATCACCATCAGAAAGCTTAATTTTATTAGTCAGTGTTAATCTCACCGATTTCATCAATTTAATTGAGGGGTAGTAATGATACAGACAGATGACGAGACACTACCGAAAAAGCATAGGATAAACAAATTCTGTTAACACGGGTTAACAAATTAGTTTATAATATTCTTGTATGATATATGAGGTGATCAGATCAACTAAGTAAAATAAACTCACGAAGATACAACTACATGTGCTTCTGTTGGTCGTCTAGTTTGATAAGATGCTTTTAAAACTAGATTTATATCAACTCGGTGCACGGATAAATACATAATAAAGCAATCAAGATCGAAACTATACGACAATATAAAAGATGTTTGTTTTCGGCATAGAAGTTAACAATGAGTTCATGTTTAAGATATTGTTCTTAATAAGCAACAAAAGTGCTTCTTCAGGGTAAAAGCCCAAAAAATCATGTCTGAATGTCACCTGATCGATAGTACTTGACGGTTAATGGTTTTACTAGCAGAAAAATCGTAGTAATATAAAACCAAGTCACTCTACACAAGGCAATATATCTCTGAAATCATAGAATCCTTGGTTAGGTAACGTTCTATAAAAACACACAGATAAACAAATACTTACACTCTGGAGTCGACTGATTTCCACTACAGCTTGTTCCGATTGAATTGTACAGCATAGGAGAATTATTTGACTTGATAGTTGTAGAAATCAAAGTTGAGGGTGCAGAATGAAGAACATTTTGATTATCCATCATATCCATTGCAAAAGAGGAGGAGGTCAGTGGGGAAGTCAAAGGGGTACCGGGAACAGAGACATGTCCCATTTGCGTACCTCCACTGCCCATCACTTCATTTGGCATCATAAAGCTTGACTGTTGAGATGATACAACCGAAGAACCTAACCCATTCGGAAGAGAAGGCGGGGTGAAACGTGCAGGAGGTCTTGAGGGAAGAAGACTGGGGGAGGCACAGTGAGGGAACCCACTCAAACCATTTGTACCGTCAACTAAAGACGAAGCACTACTTGACCGAGTTGGTTGATGCATGGCATCTCCATTTCCTGATGGCATATAGTGATCTAAATAAGAAACGAGTAATGATATACTTGTTTTAGACTAATTCTAAAAGACGAGTAAGAAATCAAGCTTCCCTAAACTTCTGTTTCAACATCAAATAAAACCTATGTGAGGGATCTCATAAGAAGTTTTTAGTAATGTTTAGATGGGCAACGAAAACCAAACACTAGGACTACGGGATAACTTTGATTAAGAATAAGCTGACATATCCAAACTGAGGAAGTTTGAGCACTGAGAAGATACCATTGTCGCATCATAAACAACTAAGTGTATTTACGTAAATAACAGGAACAACCATGAATGAAGGATTAATATTTCTGCACGATTAAGTAAAATATAATAGGTGCAAGGGGTTTAATTATTTTATTATTTATTTGAACACATAAATATTGGTACAAGGCACAAAATATATATGCGGCATTTAATTACTCCATAGAAATCGCTGTGAAAAGATATCTCGATCTTAAGGTATATCCCACGTATAATAATAGTAAGTGAATTAACACCTACAGTTCAATAACGAAATAATTTATCTTGTATTTTTCCAGCATCATTTGATAGTTGCAATATGTTTACATAAAAAGCAAACCATAAACTATGTTCAATGACAGTTTGAAGCTATTATTTGCTTGATCACATAACAACACTTCGTGGTTAATAGTGCAGTCTGGATAGAAACGACTCATTTTATGGAAATAGTAACTCACCACCTCTATTAAGCATATTAGAAGCTGACATTTGGGCTTTGGTAAATACTGGCATAAATTGTTGTCCCATCATTTGAGAGTGATGATGCAAATTTCTATTTGGCGCTGAACTTGAATAAAACGATTGACTAGGAGGCATAGAAACTGGTTGATTCTGTTGCAAAGAAGTAAGATTACCGGGAAAAACACCTTCATGTGGCATACTCTGATTTGATCCACCTGAAGACATTGGACCCGCACGAAACTGAAGGGAGTTTATCTGTTGCTGTGGTTGGTTAGAATTTAACATGTTTCCTCCTGAACTTAAACCTAATGGGGAAGATATGATACCAGCAGGAGAATCGCCAGAGCCGGGAAAAGGGCCAGAATTTATATGCGAAGCCATAACGCCTGAATTGGCTGCAGCAGCAGCCACGGCATCATATTGAGTATTTTCTAATCGAGTTATCAAACGTTCATCCTCATCACCAAAATCCCCACCCATAAGAGTTGGTTCACCAACAATCATCACATCCTTTCAAAGAGAAATACACACGAAACTAATAAGATAATTACACGGACAAGCAGTGGAAAAAGCACTGGACTATGACATAGACGCAAACTGTAACAAAATTTACCCGAGGTTCGATTTGTGCTGGTTTAAAAAGGACAATAGTATGCCACAATGTCATATATATGATTCATCGTAAGACAAAACTTACCCCAGGTTGAGCAATATGATGGGATTGTAGCGGAATAGGTGACTGTTTGCGCTTTGATGTTCGACTTGTATTATTTGCACCTTCAGTTGTTGCTGAACTACCTTTACGCTTACGTCGTTTGCTAGGTTGGCGCGTAGCTTCTAAACAAAGGGAAATCGATATATGGGAATTCATCATGAACGACAATAATTGATATGGTGAAATAAGACCAAATGACAAGCCTATCTCATAAGAATGTTTTCTTTTTCAATAATACGTAACAAAATTTAAGTCAAAATGTAGTACAGGAGAGAACTCATTGGCTCGGTATTCCGGAATTTAGTGAGAACTTAGATGCCTGTTTAAGATCATTTAAGAAGCTAGTGATTACGATTTAGGAAAGAATTACTTGAAACTATCTGGTTGTAATGTGTTACTTTGAACTATGAGGCGTACTTGCTCTTGTAAGGCAATAAACACAAGAGTTTTGGTGGACCAATATTAGTTTGCACTTTCGAGACGTTAAATTGAGGGTAGTGAGTTGCCATTATCTCCATAAAATCAGTTGTAGTCCGTTGCAATACTACTTCAAGTGACATTGGTCGAAAGGAAAATGTGAACATGAAGGACACCATTTATCAGTCTCAGTCCTTTCATAAAACATCAACTGGGAAAGCTTGGAATAGAAATCATTTATAGGAAGCGTGATAGTTCATGGAAGTTGATCGCGTAAAGGAGAGCTATGTTAGACTAACACTTGTTAGCGTTTCAAAACACGTTAAATGAAGTCTAGAATAACAAGCAACTCATTATAATGGGTGGCTTAGAATTGACTTCAGTAACGATGGTGAGGTTTATATAGTCAAATAACCAGGCTAGGAAACAGACATGTTTTTTTCCATAAGCTGATGGTATTTTTTATGCTGTCCACCTCAATCACTTCAGCGCAGAATGGCGTTTTTGCCTTTTCTATACCATACCACTGAAACTTAGTTATGCTGCGCTTTTTTACCTGTCCAATATGCCAATTATTGTCTTTAGAATGGAAATACAAATGATCAGTGAGAAAACTGTTCAACAAACCTTGGGGCATCATTCTCTGCCATTTCTGAAATAAAGTGGTTTTAAGGCAATCACGGGGTGTAAGACTATATGCCTTTTGACGCGACATCAGTTCTTGCATTGGTTCCAGAATTATACATAATCGAAAGAAATTGAGTGTGGTATTTGTCATGCCGTATCTGGTAATGTTCTTGGATAGTTGATCTAAAAAAGCTGGGTCCTAAACAAACAAAAGCATTAAAATTGTACCGAAAAAGTAACAATACAATTACTAAATTATATTTCGCAAAGGATAGTTACCTATGAAATATAATTACGGTTAATACTAAACGGAAGTTTCAGGCAAAAAAACTCAGAAACCAAGCACAAAGTCGCGAGCTATGTTTTGAACCATGAACTGAGATAACTTACTTTCCAGCTATAAATGTTAGTCTCTATTACTCAAATGATATTCTGCATTAGTCTTTAGTTTATATTATATATATACTTTAAATCCGTTTAGTTTCTTAATTTGAGCAGTTCAGTAATGTGTGTGAATTCATAATTACTTAAAGGGAATGTACTTACTTGAATGCCAAGCATTGAGCGCATTATCATTTCACGATGAGTTCGGATGAGAAAAATCCACGATCGAATCCTCATTAAATCATCAAAAGCGAAATCGAGTGTTAATCGACCTTCCACAACAACCGTAACAGGAATAGATCTAACCATAGTCATAGTCATCGTTGCAGATTCTGAATCCAGAGTTAAAATTGGATGATGAAAATATTCATGGTTCAATCTAAGATTGTAATAAAGTTCACCGCATCCACTTTCAAATATACTGCGAAAATAACGAGGAATGAGCGTTCGCCCGATTGCTAAGAGAGAAATGTGACATAAGATAGGCTTACTGTAACTTTTTGGACCCTCTTCCGTCAAAAAGGCAAGAGTAAGTGTTGCGTCATCTTCAAAAAAGTCAGTAGCAAATGACTCCCACCACAAACTATCACAGTCCTGAAAATAAGTTAGTGTCTTGGAAAACATGTACAGACATACGTCGCTGCGCTGTTGTAATCGCTTATTCATTTCAAATATCCGTAGCTCTGGTTGACCTATCAAATGCGGTAGTCGATTCCTAAAACAAAGGAAAAGCTGTCATGAAATATAAATATAATAGTGGCAGTGTATGGTATAACTATTTTAGACTGGAAATCGGAGTTACTTTTGTTCTAGTGAAATAATCAAGATCTTTTGTAAGAACAACACTGAATCCGCTTAAGATTTCTGATAAAGAAATTTCTGCATTTTTAGGCGATGTAAGTTTCAGATCGGTTGCAGTGGGACTGTGTTCAATTCAGAGCAATAAGACCAATCTGTTTATATTAGATTTGAGATATCGTACTGTGTTAACTTTCGAAAGACTCAGTTCCTCAGCAGTTGCCAGTTGAACGACAACCTGACAGCATAATTGGTGATGAATAAAACGATTCACTAGATTCAGCTACGAAATTTTTCACTTGGCTATGTACTATTTTGTATCATCAGTTGATTAGCATTCCCTCAATAATTTTAGCAATCAGAACTCATTAAGTGAAGACGAGAAGAGCCGTTAAGATGTACGCAGATAAACTTAAAAACGTGTTGGGAAACCAGATTAAGTCGATGGATGTGTAGGAAAACGAACATGACGGCTTTGATGACACAGTCAATGGTATCGCCGACTTTATGTATAGGCAAGTCTGAAACATGATCTTAGATACTTGGTTTCACCAACATGAAAACTTATCCAGCATAAACTTTCTCAATTAGGGGAATATTTAGAAGGCTCACATACTTTTACGTAATATTTAAGCTAAACTAGATAACCACTGTGATTATTTTACAACAGAACACATGGGACAGAGCTTTCGTGGAAATAACTGCATCACAACCTATTATTTGATCATTCATTACTTTCTAACAACCGCTATTACTGTTTGAAGCTAGTAGTGAATAAAAACGATGGTTTGAGATCGCAGTGCAACAATCTGTCATGTGAACTTTTTAGATTAAAATATTACCAGTGAACATTTAAATTATTTATCCTCATATCCAATTGTTGGCCAGTTAAACGTGATAAAATACACAGGATATCGATATACACAGTAAGATATCAAACTACCTTACAATGCTGCTTTAGAAGTGTGACGAATCTGAATAATATGACTCAGGTCTGATCTCGAGGTTAAAGCAGTTTCGATGTGACTGATTCAATGTCTATCAGTGCAAAAATCTGTTGATCCTTCCCACCATTTCAAGTCACGAGTGAAATGTCAAAGTGCCTTCACCACTTAGCACCGGTGAGGGGAAGTTTAGAAAACCCTAACTCTAGAAATTATTGTAAAAAATGTTACATAGACCTCAAAAGCTGTTACTTAAAGTAATATAGGTGCAGACAAAAACTGGGACTGATAGGGTAGGTGTAGCTACACTTTAGTATATCGCTGTTGGATTTCTTCAAAGTCTATCACACTGATGGATTCTCGCAAACTCGTCCCATCAGGTTCCGAACATGATGAAGAGCGACAACAAATCAGATCTAGGTTAAGCAAAAGTCTAAGGAACGACCGTGAGCAGTGTTGAGTAACGAAAGCAAAAGAGATGGAAAAGGCGGCGACTATAGGAAACACAAGACGGCTTTACAGACTAATAAAAGAAACTGGAATTAATAAGTCAAGTGTAAGTGAGATTATATCGGAAAAAGACGATACTCTCATCCGCTCCCAGTCCAGACGTTTAGAACGATGGGCGGAACATTTCAGAGAACAGTTCAACTGGCCTTCAGCTACTCTACAACTACCCTCCATCCCCAGACAGTGTGAATGGAACATTGAAGTAGGTCCCCCAACTCTTGCTGAAGTTCAAAAGGCTATAGTTAATCTGAAACGAGGAAGGGCAGCTGGTCCAGATCGATTGGCTCCAGAGGTCTTTAAGGATGGTGGTCCAATTTTAGCGATTAGGTTGACTAATATTTTAGCTAAGATCTGGGAGTTAGACGTTATCCCATCTAACTGGTCACAATCACTTATCGTCCCAATATATAAGAAAGGGTCAAAATCATCCTGTGACTCAAGCTGGCTTCAGACCTGGTCGTGGCTGCGTCGACCACATATTCACCATTCGTCAGATTCTAGAACACAGGCATAATTATCGGCGTCCGACAATGGTGGTCTTTCTTGACTTAAAAGCAGCATTTGACTCATTAGACCGCAAGATTCTGTGGAAGTGTCTGTCATTGAAAGGCGTACCTCAGAAGTACATAAATCTTGTGAAGGCTCTTTACTCGAACACTACCAGTCGATTCAGAGCTTATGGCGAACTGTCATCTGCTTTTGTAACCTCAAGTGGTGTCCGTCAAGGCTGTTTACTTTCCCCATTTTTGTTCAACTTCATCATAGATCTACTGATGGAAATAACTTTCTCGTCGACTGAGTTCTCGGGTATTGATCTCCATCAGAATGACGTAGGTGTATACACTCTCTGTCTTCCCTTAAACTAAGAGATTAAAATCACTTCATATCTTTCTTTCTACGAACCAATTCTTTCCTCTTGTACTATATCTCTATATGCAATCTTTCTCTTATATATCACCACCTTTGACCGAACCACTGCTATGAATCCGGTGTCCATCTTTTTGTGTTAATGAAGTATGGAAACTTGGACCGATGCATATATGTGCCTGGTCCTACGTTGTAGCTGACTGACTGACTGATATCGCTGTTGATATCAAGTTAATAGTGTTGTTGGGAATGTGAAGTCCCAAAGTACAACTTTTGAGGAAAACCAACATCGATTTAAGGTGATGCACTTCTGTTGTACTACTTTGTGAAAATTCAGAGGATTTTTATTGTAACTTTGTTTAATGACAGTCGCTCGGTTTACAACTTTAAATCATTAAATCTGATATGTAACCAATTAACTTAAAATGTATTTTTAGTTCTATTAGAAACCTTACCAACAAAGCTCCCATTAAGAAACCGGACCTCTCTCTAGTCAGTGGGGGAGGGAATGTTAATATTTTTATTAATTATTGAGGTCGGAGCTGCAAAGATATTAGCTCAAAGCACGAACTGTTCAGTTGGAACTGATGCCTGATTAGACGTTAATGACAGGGTTATTGAATACATTATTTACTTAGGAAACTAGTGATCATGTTTGATAGGTACTAGCACTGACGAAAATTAACTAACTTCGCCTAAGCCGCAAATATAATGTCTAATGTTGAAAGCTGTCACCTACCCGTTGTTTAGTTACTACTAACACAGGATTAATGGTTTATTGAAGACTGTTCTATGAATAGTACATCTTCCCGTATGCATCTCCTGAGTTACATGAGTCGCCTAAACTCAGGTGATTGACTAACGTCTTATACTTTATGACCAGGATACTAAAGCCATATTCAACTAGAGCAAAACATTACACATCAGTAATTGGTGCTTTAATCCCTCAAAGAACAAGTGGTTTTGTGAAAACCTGCGCAACAGCACCATTTACTGAGCAAGCCGAGGAGTAACGGTACGGAATACTAGTATAAGAAGCAACCCATCTGACCCAGCAAAAACTTGGGTTTAGTGTCACACATTACCTGACTTACGAACCCTTCAATTATTAAACGTGTCATGGGGACTTTATATGATAAATTGTGGAAATTATTTATAGACAGGAAGGCATCACGTGTGTGACACAGGTACTAGAAGAGCTTAAATGGATACCGAACGCCATTAAAGGGTGCTTATTTCAGGTCAGTATCACGATATATGGAACACGTTGGTTGATTAATGTCATATACAATATTCATTCCCTTGATTATCATCAGCGCGAAAGATATGCAACATTTTGATTAGCGACGTAAGGATGGATAAAGTTACGCCACCGTTTATGACATGGCATATGACGACTGGATATCAGAACTACAGCTGGGTAAGGTTGCAGCACATTGTTGGAGAAACCTATTGCGCCAGCTATAAGAACGCTATGAAATGAGACGACAGAAAACCATTCCATGTCGTTACTCGAAACCCTAACTTTTTAAGATTTACAAGCATTTGCTTTTAAATCAGTGTGGTTGAACGATGAGATACCACTGTACACCTTTAAATCAAATGGAAAAGCCCGAAATCACGCAGCGAAGAAGGCACACGCGAACGATTCTCTACTATTTCCCGCTTGGTTAGACACAATCATTAATGACAAATCATTTGTGGCGAATAATGGGAACTGTAGGTACTAGAGCAAGAGTGAACCACGCCCCAACCACACATGATTAGAGACAAATCAGGACTGCTAGTCGACATAGATTTTTGAGATTTAGCGCCTTAAATCCAGTAAAGATACTACCAAGCTGTGCATGAGGACGAGAACTTGATGGATCTGACCATGATATATAATAAATGATAAGAGAAAGACGGACAACATAAACTATGTAGTTATGGCGACACGTAACCAAAACGCAGAAACTGCCCGAGACCACATCACACAGACATTAACCGTGCAAAAAGATCGGGTTCAAACATAGTGTCGTACTAGGTGATAGGTCCACGACTGTTTGAAAAAATATTCAAAACGGTTAGATACACTTTTAATGTTAAAATATTATAAACTCACAATGATAGTAGTGGATGGTGATGGAACTGGCTAGGATGACCATGTGGGACCATATTTGGGATAGGATGAGGGGAACCAGGATTCATACCAAGAGTGGAGAAATAATGGCCTGGTATTGGTCCAGAACCTGAAGCTGGTGTAGCAGGCTCACGGTCATGAGGACCAGACATTTGGATACCATGACCCGAATGGAGCATTCCTGAATAATTATTTCTTAACCAAAAGTTTCATACCAGGTGGGAGGGTGTTTGGCAAATTTAGAGAACTTGATATCACCGGGCCTGAGTGAACTGGTTGCATATGGAGAGGCTGAGACCCACCACTCGCAACCGCAGAAGGCATCCTGTTCATTGGAGTTTTGGAAGGAAAGCCAACTGCATGTGGGAAATTCAAAAACTTCTCCGGATATTCTGAGATATTGGGATCCAGCGTTGGCAAACGGATAACACAATAGACAGACTTCAACGAGCCAACCAAAATGGAGTCGTCCTAAATAAGAGAAACAGACAGGTTAAACAAAAATAGTCATCTTACTACATAGCAGTTTAGCAGAGAAAATATCATCTTCAGTTTGTTCATTTGTAAGTTTTAATGTGCATGAGTAATAATTTTGTACAACCAAACGCGTGTTTTTAAAAAAGCGTAGTGATTTTCTAATTTATGAATCAACTTGCTTTTGTGTGTTTTGGTATCAAGAGCTTACTAGGTCAGATCTAGCTTGAATCACTTCGAATAAAGTTATCAGGCGCTTACAAATCTTTTTGTGATGCGCTTCTTGATTTTTCACCAATCTTCACACCTGCTGGGATCTTGCGTATTTTCGTCGGGTTTTTCAATCTAGTAGATTCTATACTGTTCCATTGTCTTAAGTTATATATATATATATATGACAGGTTTTGTACAGCTCTTTTTGCAGTGGTTGGTTATTCTCATAAATTCGGACAGCATGAGTGTTTCTTTATTATAGAGAAAAGAACGCAGTGTGATTGGTTTCATGAAATAAGCAAACGTTTGAAACCTACAAAATATAGGGTGTCCACAGCCTAACTTCCATTATCTCTGCACCTGCTGTTGTTGCAGCAGGACTTTGCTGGTCCAGGAGGTGATGAGCTCTCTGACGTTGGTCAGTAAAAGGTTGATGATAACTGAACTGATGATTAGGGCACTGACAGAAAATTCTGCCAGTTCTGTATGCTCAGATAAACGAGAAGCTAAATAGTCGACTGAGAAACCTGAATAAGTAAAATCTCTGAGACAAATAAAGATTAACACATCACTGTATGTCGGGTTACATGAGTCCAAAGCCGTATCTGAAGACCTAGAAAACCGTTACAAGTACATTTGATGTGTCGTGGGTGAAGGGAAATAAACAACAGTTTAGAAAAAACCCACTTCCACTAACAATAAATGGTTGGCTGACGAACCTTCGGTATGTTCCCATTCTGAGCCACAGAATATTCCTCTGAATTTCCGAATTAACACTATCCTTAACCCTTGGGTAGGAAACAACTTTAATTTCACTGAACATTCGTGTGAGAATCAAAGAACGTTGATCCAGCATTTAGACTTACGTATGACTTAGGGAAGGTCGGAACATTTATTGGTAACATATTACCCAGACATTCTACGGGAGTTCGGACCGTAAAACTGTTACAGATGGCCAAGGGGACTAATGGAAATATTGGTCCTCAACCACGTATGCTCTTGAAGGTGATCCTAGGGTCAGAGGACAGCATAGAGATGTTGTTAACGAGTGGTCGAAAGCGCTACCATTACAACACACATGTTGAACCTAATGTCTCTGAAGGATAGATTAAAAAGTCCTATGTGAACTAGAAATCTGTCAAAAGAATGGTGAAAAAACCATCTGGCGGATCTCCAAATATCAAGGTCTTGGAAGAGAATACGAACAAAACTTGCATGAGTAGGTCATCCTCTTTAGGAGTCTTGTGCACAAACTCTCATAGTATGTGAAATAAATTTCATGAATTAATAATGTGAGTCAACTAAGTGAAGCTGCTGAATTATGGTCTACTTCGTCATTGGTACTGCTCTAATAATAAACTCGATCTCAAAATTGTAGATTTGTCATGATGTAGCTGCTTCATCTACAAGATCTTACATGGAAGTCACAGCAATGTCTACACTGACTCGTCTTATTGTAACAATCACCAATATATGATCGAGAATATGTAACAGCTTGTAGAATTATGGTCTACTATGATATTAGTACTGCTCTAATAATAGACCTAATCCTACACTTGGAGATTTGCCATGATATAACTGCCTAATCTATAAGATCTTACGTGGAAGTCACGTCATCGTCTATACCAACTCACTACATCGTAACAATTACATGATAGAGAACAAATGTAGGCTAGAGATAAAACAATATATTTAATATGAATAAAAGATATAAAGTAACATTCAACAGGGACCACGCCTGCATGGTCGAACCATGCCATACGATCAACCCCAATTAATTCAATTCATTCTTCTCACCCTCTTCATCGCTGGGTTTTCCTCCGTGTTAAATGTTGATTGTCTCGAGTTAGGGCCCAATGCCACTACAAGCTTAGGTTGATTGGTTAAGAGTTGACTTCAAACAACTAAGTATATGTAGAAACAACAGGATTCAAGTATTCATTCACTTCCTTATTTTGTATAAGCGTTATATTCCCTATTATCTTATACTGAATGCTGAGAGGCCTTGTTCGTCTAAACAGGCAATCCCACGCTCCACTGTGACTGCGCGAAGATCTAAATAAAGACCTATTCACTACTAGTCTGGTTCCTTCTATCAATAGCATCAGGGTTGCCTACAGGCACGGAAAACACATTTAGGCTGGACATAGATTAATATGTTTAATATGAGTAAAAGAGATAAGTTGCATAAGCATGATAACGTCTACGAGGTTGAGCCATGCTATCCGATGTATTCTATTCATCCTTTCCGCCTTCTCCATTGTTAGGTTTTTCTCAGCTGTAAATGTTAAATGTGTATCTTACCAGTTACCTCATCTTCAGCTTTGAGGAATGTGTGGTTAGGGCACAATGCCACTACAAAGACACTTATCACATCCGTGGCTGAAACTTGGTTAGTCCATGACTACAGAACTATACAAGTACAACTACCTAAGAGGTGATGGAAATAGATGTACGGATGAGAGGCATCCTTGTATGCGTAACTAATAATACGGATAAATGTTCCTTTATTTTCGAATCTCGTAACAATGAGGGTCAAAAAAGTCATATCGTTGGATGCTCTGATAATTAAGAAGGGAGTTATCTAACGATTACTTTGATATCTGAAGCCACATAAGTTCAGTGGTCTTTATCATATTCACCCTAGGATCATGGAAATTCTGATGTATATTATTGCTGAAACTCTTGCAGTACTGTTTTATATATCTCCCAAGTAGACTAGGTTGTCAAGGGATTGGAAAGATGCAATTATAAATACGGTTTAAAGTTGAAGGAACAAACATTTATAAGCGATCACCCTGTTCGTCTAACCAACGTAGTCGCCAAAAATGTCTACTCTAAACTGTATGGAATGGGATAATCTTTTGTGAAGAGGGTAACATGGTTTCGAAGGGGGTCTTTCATCCTTGACAAATGTCGTTGCAGGGGAATATTTTACTGCATCGGGAGATATTAACTGTCTGGTATATGTGATTTTCACCGATCTCAGTAAAGCCCAAGATAAACTTTCTCAGATTAGTCTTAAATTAAAACTGGAAAGTTTTGGAATCCATTATAGAACTAGGAGTTGGATGCGTAACTCTACTGGTAATAAGAGGCAACATGTACCGGTGAATGGGGCTTTATCCATATTGATATCTGTGGAGAGTGGATTTCCTCAAAGTACAATCCTTAGCCCTCTTCTTTCTTGCTTTATGTAAATGATTTGCTAACTGTCGCAAAGTCATATTTTCTACTCCTTAATAATAATATTAAGACTTAGGGAGCCATACACTCCATGACTGGTGAGATAATACTACAAGAATACTTGAGTTTACCGGTTGAGAGGATAAAAAGGTGGACATAAATCTGTAGTGTCGGTTATTATGTTAAGCCCACATACCTTATTCTAGTTTTCGGACAGCCCATTCTATTCATTCTATTTGAGTCACATTCTGACCTTGTTATTTATTCGCTTATCAATTTTGACTGTTTTTATATGTGCGCGTAGGTGTGTGTACATTTCTTATCCCATTACTCATCACATGTCTGCAACTTACTTTTGTGTAACTACAAATATTGATTAACGCTTGGTTAAAAAGAGTTGGCTAACCAGCCATCTCCACTGAGCGTCGTTTCTCTTCTCTCTATTCCATTCGCTTTATATACAAAATATATGTATTGAAAAATCTGTTCTCGTTATTTGACTTATTTAATTCCGTTATTGACTAACGCGATTTAAGTCGATGATTATAGACGAGGGTAGGCGACATACTTATTTCGATATCAAACATTCATACGATCTAATTTCAGTCCGATCCACGGGCCACTAAAGTAGAGAGCCCTTTCGACAACATCGTTCAATCTAGATGACGACGAAATTATGGGCCCCACTGAAAATCAGTTCTAGCAGGAGTGCAGTAGTGCATATAAATAATTTTAACAGTTTACATAAGTACAGAACAGATAAAATGAAATTACATAAAGTGATGGATTATAAAAATCTAGGATTCATAACCCGCGTCTACCTTGTGACTACGATTAAACATAAGATTGCCGCTGCCCAAAGCTTTGGGGTCTCATGGACTATTCAGAACTCGTTTCGTCAGCTCGATGAGGTTAAGTTAAGGGTACTATACCTGGCTTTTGTGAGACCGCACTTGGAGTACAAAATTCAAACGGAAAATATTGGTTTAAAATATGAAGCGGATATGCTTAGAGTTCAACGGCGGGACACTAAAATGGTACAAGGTACCGTCGGCTTAACTTATAAAAACAGGGTGAGACGCTTCAATCTATTTATGAGGTGGTTTGATAGGGACTTACTGTATACTTGTTATTTCCGATGAAGACTAAAGAAATGGTAACTGCCAGGATTAGTTTATAGGCTATTATTGCACACATTCTCATTGGACAACTATTAACTAGATTGTGTTATATATTTATATTCCTTTTATCATGAGCCAATCTTGGCTTGATCATGTATAATTGCTACCCTTCATTTTATGGTATGATGTGGTTGATCACGTATACACATAATCTACTTGTTTCTGAAATATAATATTCGCAAGGTGAAAGCTGATTACTGTGTTCTGAGCTAAACAAGAACAACAGAGAGTGAAGCCGGAGATTTTTGAGCCAGTGAAAACTTAGCACTTGGCTTAAGGTTATTGATGCTCTACCGATTTTGATTGGCATTTTTTGTCACGTTATATTGGAAAGTGGCCATAGGTCATAACATAAGTCCGAAAATTTTCGGGATTATCTAAAGATTTGGAAACTTAGTAAGTGACTCTAGTAAATGG